TCTCTCTCTCTCTGTCTCTCTCTCTCTCTCACACACACACACACACACACACACACACACACACACACACACACATCTGAATAAATACTGAGGAAACCCAAGAAACATGCTCTATGCCGCTATGTGATGACCCGCTGGAGATTCAACTAGCATGTGGTTCACATGCTTTGTGCCGTGAGGATTATGAAGGAATAGTCCATGCGAGTTTCTGCTTTCATACCTACGACGACAGTCAGCACTGTACTCATGTACGGCACCCTGACATGTCATGTCCAATTTGTAGACAGGGGCTAGAACGGCAGTGCCTCTATAATTGTGGTCGACGTGCCTCCGTGTTCCTAGCATGTAGGAGCCACGTTGCCTGTGACATCTGTCTGCGCCGTGCCATTCGATGCAGCAACTGTGACTGCAAAAACTGGATGCGGTGCTTCCACAGTCCACACCCGAACCGGTCCTGTCCAGTCTGTAGAGATGGTCACTTACCATAGGCAATAATTGCTCCTTGACTCAAAATCTTGTGCAACCCAAACACCAATGAACCTCATGTGCTATTCCAGCGGTGAGTGTTTAGAATTCTGCGAAGCCCATCATATACCTCTCGCCTGCCCTACCCTTGCACTCTGCTTTCCCCCTACCTCACGTCCTGACAAACTTACCTCCTGTCCCTTTCCCTCGGCCCTCTCCTTATGTGCAACTAGGAAATACATACGAATGAGCATCAATAAGAGTACAGACAAAGTATAAGTTGAAGATTTGAAGAGAAATGAACAGGAGTATGAAGATGAACGACAGACACAAAGACTAAGCATATGCTGAAGAYCTGAAGTGAAATGAACAGCTGGAGATCTGAAGKGAAATGAACAGCTGGAGATCTGAAGTGAAATGAACAGGAGTATGAAGATCTGAASTGAAGTGCACAGGAGCATACCTTCCCCTTTACTCTGCCTCTTATTATAACGTGCAAGTGGGCCGTTAAGGCACACGGGGATGTCGGCAGCTGCCGCTCAACCACCATCAACGTGGGCAGCCTTGTACGTGCRAGGCAAAGTGAAAGAGGAGCTGTTGCCCCAAAGAAACCCTAGCTAAACACGGTTCAAAATGGTTCTATTATGATTCGTGCTGCCTGTTAAAGAATTTTTTTTTGTTTTTCTTTGTTTTTAAGTGAAGGGCGGACTCAGTCCGGTTCTACTCATCTGGTTGGAATAGGGGTTTTGGGGGAAGCTTATAACACACACATCTCTCTCACACACACACGAACACGTACTTACGCACGCATGCGCGCACACCCACACACCCACACACCCACACACCCACACACATAGAATCATATCAAAATATCACACGTGGCCGTACGTGCCACATCTAAACTACACACAGACGTCAATCTTTGTAACAAGAACAGGCCAGCACTTGGTACACTGTCAGTGATTCTCATGGCAATGCTCCCGCTGGAGCTCCACGATGAAACAATTCACAAGTAACACAACAATGCTACAGCACGAGGAGGTTGCAAGGATCCTCTGAAGGGTAGCATGCCCTCCGGAACGAGGAGCTGAGCAAGGACTTGGCTTGGTTCTTAGCCTTGATTTGGCATTTAACAGGGTATTGATGTTTTAGTTTGGTTTTTAAGGCCTATTTTTGTTGGTGTGCCTCGGTAGGCTAGCTTTGACCCTTGTACTGGTAAGTGACTCAACATAGGATGTTTTTTAGTAATTTCGAGCGGTACCCCCGGTACCACAGGAACAGGGGTGTTATTTGGAACTGGGCCCCCCGACCTCTGTTGAGGCGACGGGGCCGCAACCTTTGACTATTAATAGGTAGACATAGGATGTAGTACTCCTCTCACGTTCCGCGTTCGGCCGGCCTATACGATAGACCACTGACGCGGCCGGAAGTTGCGGTTCGACGGCGGATCTTGGGTTTGTTGGCTTGTTTTGAGTGGAAACCTGTTGTGTGTTGTGTTCTCATGTCTACTTGTCACCTCCATTGACTGTGTGAGTGTTGATCAACTTTAATCTTTGCTCTTACCTACGTGATATTCTCATCCACTCTTTACAGCGCGCGTGAACTTGCCTGGAGACGACTACCGGGTTGGAGTGAGCGTGTCACTGGTTACCATGCTGATCTGATCTGTTCTTCGGTCAACACCGAGAAGCTGATCGCAAGATTGTTCTAAGCTACCAATCGGAAGCGGAGAAGAAGAGAAGCTGTGACGCGAAGTGCCCTCGTTAGCGCTTATCCAGCGGCATGTCTAACCCCGACCGTTGGGAAGACAACAGAGGATTGGGGGATGGAGACCGACGATATAGAGCTCCTACCTGCTTCAACTGTCACGAGGCAGGGCATTATGCCAATCAATGCCCTCACCGAGATCGACGTCAGTATCCGAGTCGGCCGTCAACGTCGATAGATTCCAGGAGATCGCGGTCCCCCCGAAGATACAAGCCGAGGAGGTATGCGTCACCTCCACGGAACAACGCAGGCTTACGTGACAAACTGAACGTGCTTACACAAGGTGTCGCGGAGATGAAGGAACATCTCGATGCAGAGAAAGCCAAGAAGGAGGCGAAAGAATGAAGGAAGTTGGAGAAAGAACGAAGGAAAGAAGAAGAGAGGATACTGGCCGAAGAAGAGGAAACCCGCAGGAAGGAGGAAGAGGAACGACGCGAGGAGAAGAAGCGCAAGAAGGCTGAAAAAGCGAAGCAAGAAGCTATGCTGCGCGCGGAGATGAAGAGAGAAGTGGCGCTCCACGCCACTCTGTTGATGAGCGAAATTAAAGATGATTGGATCAACGAAATGAAGTCTTCACTGATGCCGGCACTCCTAGCCGGGAAGGTGGATGCTAAGGGCAAGAAGAAGCTAGAGCCAGCTCAAGTGGCGGGGTCTTCTTCGGACGATAGCGACGACAGGAGTGAGACAAGTGTCACCCAAGAGATTAGCGACAAGGCCCGACAACTGTGTATTTCTGAAAAGCGCAAGCGGTTCGATGACGTGGCGATCGAAGGGAGCCCGCCAATGGAATTGCCAACGAAGCGGACTCCGAGAAAGACCACTGCCAGGCCAGTGCTCATTTCTGATCGGATGACAAGGTCCAAAGCAAAGAAGAAAGGAGGAGGCATCGCTATTCGTACTAAGAGAAAGTCTCCGGTAAAAACGCCACTCGCTAAAGTTCTGAAGTCGGCAAAGAAGTCTACACCACCGAGCGGAAGGATCACTCCGGCCAGCAAAGCCTTGCTGCGACTACGTTTCCGGGACGCCATCATGCGTGAGCTGAAGGACTGCAACGCTGATGAGCTTCAGCGAATCTGCCGAGAGGAAGGATTACACTATGAAGGTAAGATCGATGCGATCCTCGATATCGCCGAGTATCGATCCAGGCGTCAGTTCCCAGACAACGAGCAAGAGATTGGGGTTGTTCCTATAACCGTGTCCGATGATACCGAGTTTGTAGACGTGCCAGCTAATAAATTGGAGTGATGTGGCTTTGACCCGGATAGATTGTGGGAGTTGTGCAGATATATCACGAAGGTTCGGTGTTGCGCTAAGTTGGTTGACCGGAAACTCGCCGAGCAGTTACTCCGCCTGACTATCCTTCTACTAGCCTTGACTTCACGAGTCAAATGGTTACAGAAGTACGTTGGTCAATGGTTGTTGCTTTATGATGCGCATGGGATAGGTTTTCTGGACTTATGTAATGTGGTGTACGTTGCAGTTTCCCCGTACTGTAAGTCGAGTTATATTGGCAAGACCTCTCGAGATTGCACCCCACGATGGCGTGAGCATTTGTATGCAGTTCGAAGACGTACGCAATCACACTTCCATCGCTGGATTGCCTCTTTTGGTACAGGGAACTATGTCCTTATCCCAGTCGATTATATTGAGGGTGCTGATATCGTTAAGCTTGAGAATTTGTACATTAATCGGTGGTCACCATTTCTCAACACCGCAGGGGTGAGAAAGGAACATAAGAAATCGGTTAGGAGGAAGTCGGGAAAAAGCGAGAGGAACCGAAGTAAAGCTGTAAAAACAGATATCTCCTTGGGAAATCCCGTTTCTCCAATCCACTTTCACCGAGTGTCCGATAATTCAAGTTTTCTGGATCTTTACTCCTTCTTGGATGGAGTCTTGAGCTTTGGTAACGATAATTGTGTAATTCGATCTACTGGTGGTAAGGACTGGACCCCTAGTTGGAGGAAGTTGACTAAAGCGTTTGGGGACTGCAAAATTGTGCATCAAAGTCGTACGACCACCCTAAAGGAATGTAAGATTTGGTTTGAAAAGGGGGGAGTATTTCATATTCTACATGTTGTAAAATGGAAGTCTCGTTGCAAATATCTTAAGAAGGTCTTGGTGGGTATTCTGCGCAACCCGAACAAATTAAATGAGTTGTACCGTTGGGATATGAAGTCCATGCTACGTATCTATCGTGTGATCAAGGATTTTTCAAGAAACTCGACAAGGAAATACCTTCGTAGGTTGGTTTCTCGTTGTTTCCAAGAGCGTTTTGGCCTCAGTCTGGCTTCTGACCTCACGTTTCGTATTAAGTTTGATGACAGGATTGTTACGTCGGAATTCAGGAAAGTAGTGAACGACGCTTTGTCTTTGTGCAATTTACCGCATAGCTTCATGCTCAGAGCACATAGGAAGCTTTGCATCGTTGGAACCAAGAATCCAACGATAGCTGATCTCTTGCACAACCATCGTAGTTACTCTACACGATGCGTGCTTACCTGCTGTTGCGCAGGTATGGACCTCCCACGTGTGAATGAGCATGTGACCTTTCGTTTGAGCGAGTTAGCAGACGTGAACCCGCTTTTACTGAATGCGAACAACATTCCCAAAGTCAGAGTCGATGATAGACTTCATTTGCTTAGGCAGGAGCTGACTGATGGTTTCCGTAATTGGAAGAACTTGGATGGAAAGGTACCAGACTACTCAAGCTTGGATCTCTCACTTTGCCTCTCAACAGGCAGCGACGCTGGCCTGGGTATCTCGACAGATGAGGTGCTTGCACTGAAATCCCGTTTAAAGAACCTGGTTGTCACTGCAGTTGACCAGAACTCAGGCGAGTCCGTGGCAATGTGCCCCGCTGTGTATTTCAAAGCTATGATGGATACTTTCGTTTGTAATCCTGGGTACCGAATGATTAAGTGCCCTGCTACTCAGGTGATCAGGGAGATACGCAAGGAGGTCTCAGGTTCGAACCTCGGTAAGTTTGTAAGTTGGAACCGGGAGGGCACATTCGGCTCTGCTTATGTAATTCCAAAACAGAACGATCTCAGTCGATATCGCCCAATCTGTCCTTCGTTCAGTGAACCAACCGTGAGAACTGCTCGGTTGGTAGCTAAAGTCTTGAATCACTTGCTTTACACTCTGCCCAAGCAATGGCACTTCAATCTTAGAGCGGTTTCTGAGGCCAGGGCCAAAGGGGCCAGGCCATGGGAGGCCGAGGACCGGGCGCACAGGGGGTTGGCGGACAGGGAAACCGCCAAGCGGGAGGTAGGGGTCAAGGTCCCCCGTTAGATCGCCAGGGTAACCGGTCCCCACAACGAGGAGGTGGAAGGGCACCTCAAGGAGGATGGCACCCAGGCTTGCCGTAGGGCAGGCCCTGGGACACGATTGAACGCAATCAATGGCAAATTATGTAGGCTAGGGAATGGCCGACAGATCACCTCCTATTCTTTTGACATTAAGGAGATGTTCAGCAAATTACCGCACGGGGAGATCCTTCGAGCGATTGACTGGATCATTGACTACCATGTGAGCAAAGGGCAAGACTTCGTGCGAGTAAATTCTCGGGGGAAGGGCATGGCATTCGGCCTGACAACGAGGGCCGACAATTGGAAGCGTTTGCCTTTGAAGGATATTTTGAGGTTCGTGCATTTGGAAGTTAATCACACTTATTTTTTTGCAACAGGTGTACTACTCAAACAAGAGGTAGGGGTCCCCATGGGGAAGAGCATGAGTCCCCCGATTGCCTGTATTATGTGCGCCTTCTCAGAAAATCAGTGGACATGCTCACTCGGCCGCGCCATGAGATGTGTGGGTGCACTGCGTCTGATTGATGACGTTATGTTAGTCATCTCATGCAGGGATGAAAAAATCAGGACACACATTTTTTACTCTTTCGTCAAATGCTATCCCAAGGAATTGACTCTGAAGCGTACAGATGACAATAGCGGGAATCTGGACTTCCTTGGCTGCCGAATTCGCACCTCACAACACTATCCGTTTCTGGGTTACCGTAGCGTTCAGCCGTCCGCATTTGGATGGAAGGAGATCTGACCATTAAGAATGGACAGTCCTTCAGATCATGGGGCAGTAAGAAACAAAAGAGTGCCATGGTCGGAAGCCATTTGCACAGAATAGATCGAAATACATCGATCAGATCTGAAATTCCCGGGAAGGTACTTGGTTTACAGCAGGAGCTGGTTAAGAAGGATTTCCCTGTGAAGTTCGTCAATCGTGTCTTTCGGAGATTCGCCTGCAGACGTGATAACCTGTGGCAACAAACAGTTGCTTTCGTGTGTGATAACCACTAAGTAACAAGTACGATTTCAGTGGGATTCACTCTTGGAAATCAAGCAGGATCAAGCGCTACTGATCGTAGCAACAGCTTTCCAGTCATTTGTAGCTACAGTTTGTTTGGTTTTTGCAGTAGAGCTGAGCAAGGATTTGGCTTGGTTCTTAGCCTTGATTTGGCATTTAACAGGGTATTGATGTTTTAGTTTGGTTTTTAAGGCCTATTTTTGTTGGTGTGCCTCGGTAGG